TAAGACTCAAAACAATTTTATAACCAACATATTATATCCCTTCCGCATGAGCTCTGGTGTTGAGATGTGTATTTCCTTGGAGTTAAAGTATGAATGTGCTTTTCAAAGTCCTTATTTATAGAGTGCCTTATAGATGTTTCAAATGGAGGGAGCTTGACTTTTGAATACAGCCACTATACCAGCTGTCCAACTATATTGGTGGCCTTCAGAAATTCACCCTTGTGTATGTTTATGTGTGAGCAATAACTTTGTAAGTTCATTTATATTTGGTGTTGGCAGGGGGATTTTTCTTGCTTTTTTTAATGTTGATGTGTCCTGGGTTTTCTTGTATTTTCCACCAAGGTTGCTCACTAACAGTGGGCTTACAGCAGAGGAAATAAGAATCATGTCATTGTCTGGGTAAAATTCGAAGAGTTCCACAATAACCCGGAATGGAGTATAACAAAGATTTATTAATTTGGGGATAAACTCATAGTAAGGGTAGCTAGCGATCCACAGTCCTCTGAGTGCACTGGGAACTAGAACCAAATCCAGCAGCAAAGAGAGCCACACACTTTTTTTGTCTACATTTATAGAGCATGAGACCATGCCCAAAGCGGGCTGGTATCTAAAAGGCTTTGGCTGAAGGAGTTTCCACAACATGTCCATACCAGATTGTAAAGATACTTTATATTAATTATAAGGTGTTTAGAAGCTAATGAGTAGCTTTCACATGACCTGTGACCTGCCACAATGCATCTCACTCATTACGGCTTGATTAGTTTGTTAATTCACAAGGCTGGGTGATACTTTTGATCTTTGTGTTGTATTGGTGGTTTCTTCCAATAAATGAATTGGCTCCACACTTATCTGAGCTCAAAGGTATGAAAGGTCATTTTTAAGAGATGAACCATGTGGGCAAGGGAAGCTGTTGTTATGGTCTTTGCTAACATCACACCCATGAAAACTGCCTCCACTGGTGGTAACTGAGTCAGGTAAAAACAGTCCTATAAAATCAGCCTGCCAGTGTGTAGGGTGGTTATCCACTGGCCATGCTGCTATCAGGTGATGTGGTGGAAGTTCATGGCCCTTGGCTGATTCCAATTCTGGCCCACTTCTATAAAAAGGCAACATGGCAAACTCTTTTATCTGATGGCATCTCTTCTCTCTCAGCAAATAGTGGTTTCTGTGGGATGTGACATGCCTGTCGTGGTCCACAAGGAAACTGATCTTGTTAGGCGCCTGCCTCATTCTGTCTGTCTGTGTTTGGGGGTTCTTTCAGCTGATCTAGGACAACTGCTATGATACCCTTGCCCCTTGTCTGCCACACTCAGCTCTGCAGCAGAGACTAACAGTCTTGAGGGATGCACAGAAGCTCAGATAGCATGGCTTTTCCAGACATTGGATCCCTCCCATTCAAACTCTGATGATCTCGTAGAATGGGTATTTTGGTGTTTATATAAGAGCTACTCTAAAGTGACCCTACCTAGCATGTGGCTAAGCACTGATTCTAGAATTTGCCTTAATATTCTTTCCATCGGTGTGAAGTGATGCATCGGGCCCCTCTCTTCCTCCTGCCCATAGCATTTGCCTTCATCTTCATTTCCCCAAGGCAAATGTGGGGACAGTGGGTCTCATACCCACATCTGCAGTGGACTATATTTGTAGATGTGCCATCTTCTCCCACAGAAGATGCAGGCCACCTCATACCTAGTGACATTGTTCTGGACTTAGCTTTTAAGGCTTTACATTCATGCTGAAGTGATGGTTTCCCACTCAGAGGAGAGAAAAAAGAGCTTGTCACCCCCCTTGGGCCAGGAACCCACTTGACCAATGCTCTAGAGCAATGGCTCTCAACTTCCTAATGCTGTTACCCTTTAATACAGTTCCTCATGTTGTGCTGACCCCCACCCAGAAAGTCATTGTGTTGCTACTTCCTAACCGTGACTTTGCTACTGCTATGAATCATAATGTAATTATTTTTTTTGAGATATAGGTTTGCCAAACAGGCCTCAACCCATAGGTTGAGAATCCCTACTCTAGAGAGAAGCCACCCACCAACTGTAGGCCATGGAAGGTGGCAGTGCTGGGTGAATTTAGTTGTCTTGGAGGCTCTTTAAAAAATAGACACAAGTTAGGCACATGATACCACGAGCATGTATGTACCTTGCATTGCTGTGGCACAATGCTTTTACCCTGTGAAGATTTGTTTCTTGTACTTGTTTAAATAAATACTGATTGGCCAGTAGCCAGGCAGGAATTACAGGCGGGGCGACAAGAACAGGAGAATTCTGGGAAGAGGAAAGATTCAGTCTGCAGTTGTCAAAGCTGACAAAGGTACCAAGCCACATGGCTAACACAGACAAGAATTATGGGTTAAGACGTAAGAATTAATTTATAAGAAGCCTGAGCTACTAAGCCAACCAATTTATGATTAATGTAGATTTCTGTGTGTTCATTTGGGACTAAATGGCTGTGGGACCTGGTGGGACAGAATCCTCTGTCAACACTGCATGCCTTAAAATTTTATCTTATTTTCCTGGTAACTAAACCCATGCCATGGTGCTGGGTAAGCATGCTAGAGTTGCCTCTCTGGTCAGGGTTAGGGATATAGAAAGCACCCAGGGCACATGATGCTCTCATCTTTCCAAACCCCAACTGAGGGCCCTCTAGGCCAAATATCTGCCCAGTATTATTTTCTTGAATTTTCCCAATGTACACAGGCTGTGAAATGAGTTTAGTAGCCACACAAAACATTACCTTTGCCTTTTTTATTTAAAAATTAATAAATATTTAATGACAAGTATAATAATTTACTCTCTATACGTAATGCCATGTGTACATCTACATAGGAGGGAACACTGAACTTTTCACTTGGTTTTGTATGAAATTTTGACTTCAATCTTTCCAGGAGAAGGGTCGGCCTCTGTCGTTGGCCAGTTGTGATTGGCTATGAAATGAGCTTGAAAATGCATTTTGTTTCCTGTTTGGTGGAGATGCTTTTTTTTCCTTCGAGGAGGAATTAGTTTATCTTCAGCGTTTCATTTCTGGCTCTAAAATGCTTAATTTTTTATTTGACTCGAAACAGTGACATCACAGGTAGTCACATGTATTTGCATTTAGACAGATGTGCAGCACTGGGCAGAAGGCTGCCAAACCCTTTCTTCCACTTGCTGAAAACATGGAATTCGTCAAACACATGAGGAGAAAACTGGTTGCCAGCATCTTCATAATGTCAGTTAAAAACAGTATAAAAAACGTGAAAGACATGTTTAAAGGTTCAGTATGCATGAAACAATTGCACTTCCTTCAAGGTACAGGATCAGCGCAGTCAGGGCTCTCCTCTGGCTCCTTTGTTTACTGCTTGTCTGTGGATTTGAATCCCCATAGCATACTTCCTTAAAGGCCCGTGTTTGTGTGCATGCCCACGTGTGCACATGCACCTGCATGTGTGGTAGGGTCTGTATGTGCATTTTGAATTAAGCGGATTTGAATTTTTACAGAGTACTTTCTGAAAGGCATGTGTGTGTGTGCGTGTGTGTGTGTGTTCCAACATGTGGGGTGTGTGTGTGTGTGTGCGTGAGTGCGTGCGTGGATGTGCATTTTAAATTAAGCATACCTCTGTAGTGTGGTTTGAGGAATCCCCTGAGAGCCGTCACACAAAATATCCTTTTAGTCTTCTCTTTTAAAGACCAGATTTGATTGCTGATCTCTAGATCCTTGTATAACTCAAATGTCAGAACTAAATGAAATTGTTGAGTCCAGAGGAAAAGCATGGTGAGTCTTACCTCCTGCCCATCCAAAGCAGGCCATGACCTTCTCCCAAAACCGAGCCGCTCTGGCTTTGCCACCAGATCCGCGAGGCTGCCATCAGCATGCAGTTCCAGCTATAAGCGCTGGACGGACACTGAAGACTAGGTTTTTTTTTTCTTTTCTCATATGCTCACAACTAGTCAAAGTTTTAAGTTATACAAAAAAGAAAAATAAATAAAAGGCAAAAGAAGACCCCCCCCCCCACTTCCTACACGAGAAGCAGAACACCGAGAGACGTCATTAACTCACAGGAGGATTTTGTTTTCTATAAAAAAGATACCTGGAAAGGTGCAGAGACATGAGTGTAAAAGAAAGGAGTGGAGGTTCACGTTGTCATGTGTCATCAAGAGAGAACTCTTGTGTGTGACGGCGGATTTAAAAAAATCCCTAAAAACATCTGATTCACAGCTTTCCCCTAAGTATGCCGTTTAATACAATTTACTGATAGCTTAAAATGGAGGCGATGCTAAGTTTGGCCATTGGTAGCAGCGAAGGGAAGCACACTGTGTCTCTCTGAGATGGTCAGATCTTGCACAGCAGAGACAGGGCATAAAGAAGTGTAGACAACACCTGGCAGCGCTCAGGGATGAAGAGTGTCTCTGGGGACTGAGCCACAAAAACACTTTCTGCCGCAGCCCAGGCACCGGTGATTTATAGGTAACTCTATTATCCATTGTGTATCTCTGTCTCTTTTCAAATTCTCGCCAGATTCATCATTTGGCCTTTGGGCAGCCAAAGATTAAAAACAAGACCTAAGAAAGCTTAGTGTCCATTAGCTCTGACCCTGTCAGCTTGCAATGATTGAAGGCATATCCTGACCTGGGGTGGGGGTGGGGGTGGGGGTGGGGTTCCTGGCTGCTGGCCATTTGGGAAATGAGCGGTAAACATGTCGTCCATCTAGAGATGAAGAGGGTGCTAAATCTGTGGTGTCAATGTGACACTGAGATGTGGTCACTTGGCGTAGCGCGACAGCACACAAAGGCAGGTATACATAGAGTCACATTTTTGAGATTATTCATGGTCTCCGACCACTTGAAAAAAATTGTGCTTTCTCCGGAATTTAATGTGCTGAAAACTGCACTCGCCCCCTGCTTATTTGCAAAATGAAAGGTAAAAAAAAAAAAATGAAGTCTTTTGCTAACAGAAGGCTTGCTTTTTCTTCTCATTTAAAAAAAAAAAAAAGTCGTAAGAATAAAAGGCCAAAAATAATGAAAAGTTCCACTGTCTACAGAGGGACAGCCTGCTGCATGAAACGTTGATAACTCAATACTTGTTCATAGATGGGGGGGGGCTGCCAGGGGATAGATTTTTTTCCTTATCTTTGATTACGTAAGTTTTATTTCAGACTTTACACCCCACACCGGTGATCTGCAAAAGACACCTGGCAAGGGGTGACCGTCACTCCCTTTGCTGCAAATTATTTGTTGGTGCGAAGGCCTTTTTGGTACGCAGGGCGAGAAGCAGGGAGCACACATTGGCACCGCAGTTCCCTTGGTCCTATCCAGTTTGGAAAAGGACTGACTTAAATTCCAGTGGGTGTGAAAGACGGTCTGGGGACTCCCAAGCCCACAAGTCTTAAAGAAACCAGAGTTTCCACCTTCCGTGCTTTTTGGACTCAGTTTTGGATTTTTGCTTGGGTGTGGAGGAGTAAGTCTCCTGAGTGTAAGGCGAAGGGATGACCTGAGTTTCCTCGACAGGGTGCAGTTTTCTCAGCACAGGCTGGAGTTTGTCTTCCTGTTGCTTAAAATCCAGCTCCACGCTAGAAAGACAGAACACAGAGTTTAGTGCGTGACCCTAGAGATCTGGTTCCCCACCCCCAGTATGTTCTTGGAAAAGAACATCCTTTCACACAGGCAAACCTTTAAAGATCTAAAGGACACAGTTGTTCCACAGTCTTATCATGAGACTAGGGAGATGGCTCAGCCAATAAAGGTCTCATCCTGTAAGCATGAAGGTGTGACCAACCCTGAAAGCTCACTTAGAGCCCGGTGTAGTAGTGTTTGTCTTCAATTCCAGTGCTGGGGCCAGAGACTGGCCAGCCAGCTTAGCAATCAGTGAGCTCCAGGTTTGGAGAGAAGTCCCGCATCTAAAATTAAGATGGCGATTCACCAGAGACTACTCTCCCAGTAGCTACCATTTGCCTGTAGTTCCTCAGCTAGGGGAAGGACTTTGTACCCCTCTATCTGGTCCATGCTGGTGTTTTATGTGGCTTAAGCTAGGGCTTGTGCATGTTGTCTCAATGGCTGTGAGTTCCTACATGCAGCTGCCCTGTTGTGCACCGAGGACACTGTTTCCTTGTATTCATCTACTACCTCTGGCTCTTAGACTCTTCTGTCACCTCTTTCTCAGTGGCCCCTGAGCCTTGGGAGGAAAAGAAGACCATACATCCAAGAGTACTTAGGTGGTACAAACTGGTCTCGATCAGTAGGGGAAGAAAAAATAAAGGTCACCAAGTTCTGTTGGTGAAGTGGATCTGGGAGGAGATAGGGTAAGGGGTGTATATGATAAAAATACATGATTCAGAATTCTTCAATTGTCAAAAATGACATTGAAATAGACTGGAGAGCAGTAGAGGAAGATGTGTGACTCCACTTCTGACTTCCACATGCATGCACATGCGCACATGTGCACCTGGTCATCAGAATATGCACATACATACACCTTACACGAACTATTTGAATCTCAGTCTAGCAGAAGTCATGATGCATACACATGCGTGGCACATAATGCATCAAGCTGTGTCTTCCTGTGCAGCCACCACTGCTCAGGGAAGCCTCTGGACTGAAAGCACCATGAATCGAATGCCTTTGGCCTGCCTTCTTGCCAATTACTAGTTTCCTTACTAGTCTCAAACATTCTTAAGGACCACCGCTAGGAGGAGAGTGTGGGGAGGAGCCTTGTGGTTATCTCTTCAGCATTACTGAGAGGTCCTTGCTGTTATCAAGCACAGCTTTTCAGGAAGCAACAGAGATCTTGTTGTAATTGCACTGTGGGAGCAGGGGTGTGCAAGGATGTGTGTGTCAGAAAGATAAGATTGAAGATGTGCTTCAGAATATCGGCTGCTACTTAGGATGCCTCTGTGAGGAAGGCTGCCAGAGTGCTGGAGTTGTCCCTGACATCTTTGGTAAGCAGTGATGGTCTGCTAGAATCCACTCCGAAGGGATGCCCTGGCCCGCATGGTTTCCTCTGATGATGAGGCACTGAGGAGCTTTTCTTCCCATCCTGTGTTGTTTAGATCATATGGTTTGGACTTAGGCTGTGGAGTCTTCTACCCTGTCCTGTGGTCCAGATGCCAGACTAAATGTCAGTAGATTCCAGTGAATGTTCATGGCATTCTTCCTCTAGCCTGGGGGCACATAATACCGTCTATCAACACGGAATCCTATCCATTTAGAGCCATTAATCCCAGCCAAATTCTGACATTTCAGGAACACAAACCAGCAAAGCCGCATTATCTGGAGTTTTAAAAATAAGTTCAAGACCTATCGAATATACCAGTTTATGGTTTTTAAATCCCATATACCATTTTTCATATTGTCAAAGGTTGTAATATCACTGAGGGTTTTTTTTTTAATGTCAAGGGAAGTTTATGGCTATTTTCCACAAGAAGCCTTATTCTCTTCTCCATTTATTTTTTAGGAAGGCGTTGTGTGTGTGTGTGTGTGTGTGTGTGTGTGTGTGTGTCCCTGTATGCACACGTGTGTGGAAATTCAGAGGAAAACTTTTAGGAGTCGGTTCAAATCCTCTTTGTTCTAGGAAGTGGAACTGAAGTCCATTGTGTCAAATGTTGCATCGCTATGAGCTTATAGAGACAAGGCCCCTCCTAGGGACAGCTGTGCCAAGGGCAAACCTTCGGATGCTTGGAACCTGTGACATTCTAGCTTGTCTGGGCTGTGGTACCTGAGAAAATAGGAGATCCTGTCTTGGTGCCTGGGGAGCAGGGGTGAGTTAATTCTCTCATCATCAGTGAGCTTCCATTTACTTTAGCTCCAGGAGAGATAATTGCCTGTCTTGCCGAATTCTAGAAAGAGCACATTCTCAAACACCCAAAGATCTCTTAACTATCGTGAATAGTTCAAATATGACTGTGTTCTCACTATTACGTGTCAACTGCAGACTTTACAGTTGAGTCCGGTGCCGCAAAAGAAAAGGACTAGAGAATTCTTAGCCTGGACATTTAGACAACAAGGCCTTTCAGGAATTTGTGAGATGTGACATTTAGCTAAACTAATACCCAAATACGTCCTCCATGTCAAGACCATCGCAACTATCCCAGGTAGCCTTTTAGTGATTAGAACAGTGCATGTGGCTGGCATCTTCTGGGCTAACATACAGTCCTGGGCACCTGTAATTATTGAATTCCCATTAAGCGACTACACTGGGAATCCTGTCATTAACCAATTTATCACACCGTGGAACCATGTAATCACAGAGTAATCTAATCTGAGTTCTTGTTAACGAAATGACTCGACTTTATCTGTTGAGCAGAATCCCGTTTGTGCTCATCTAATATGCTGTAGCCCCGAGCAGGCTTGATAGGAGAGGGCCCCCAAGCCTGGCAGTAGGGGGGGGGTCCGTGACACAGTGACCACGAGCCCTGCCTCTCCTCACTGCTTGCTCTACCTTGTCCAGGTTGCAGTGTGTCTGCCTGGGGGTGACGTGTGGGTATCAGCCACCCACATTGTGGATAGGCGAACCCTGGCTGTTAAGTAACAAAAACACATGCTTTTTTCCCCTGCTGTCTGCTGGCAGTTTCTTCTTGTCAGAGTAGACACTGGGTTATTTGGGATCTGAAGTAGATGGCTGACTACATAGGGCAGTATTGCAAGGCTAAGAATCTGGTTTTCTCTGGCTGACTTAGAGCAAAGGTTTCTTTGATCTTAATGGCCAAATGGTGTTTGCTAGAAGCAGAGGTTCTGGATATTGCAGAGGTCTGTCCCAGTCCTCCCTCTCTGAGGACAGTCAGTTGGCCTATGGGTAGGCAGATGGCAGTGTCAGCATCTGTTCATTCCCTCCTTCCTTGTGGCCATTTGTTTACCCAGCTTGGGTGCTTTCTCTGGCTCACAGCATGGAATGCCACACTCTGTTTCCCCTCCCTACCCCACCCAGCTACACACGACTTCTGCAACCTGACCACAAATCCTCATCTTTCATCTTTGAGTTCCTTCTTTGCATGGCATTAAATGTGGAGAATTCTGTGTTTGCGTAGGTGCTGGGACCTGGCCATGGTTTTCTGGTTAGTGGGCTCTGGCATCAGATAACAGGATACACCTTGTACTGAACGTAAGAGAAAGATCCATGGCCCCCCGTGTTGACAGCTGTTGCCCAGGGCATGTTGTTGATCCCCTCTGAAGCTTTCCTTTTCTTGTCTGCACCTCTGTTCTCTTTCCAGGCATCCAAAACAATGCCTCCAATTAGAATTCCCAGTGGGCAGAATTCCTGTGTCTACAATTGTTGCATTGCCTTGACCACACTCCTCTGTGGGTCCTGGTGACTCATGATTAAAGAATGCAAAGACATTTCATTTCTCTGGTTAATTCTTTTCCATAAATATTCTTGCTCTTAATTATGGGTTTACAAAATAATTTTCTGTATATTTCTTGTGTATGTGTGCAAGTATTAATATATGTACACATGTTCCTGTACATGTGTGTATGTATATATACACACATGCACATCATACAGGATTGAGATCAATCTGTCTGGGGCAGTCTATCACTGGTGGCCTGGAACTTGCCAACTAAAGCTAGGTTGGTTAGCCTGTGAGCTGCAAGAATCTGCCTGTCTCCACCTTTCCAGTTCTGGGATTTAGAGTATTTGCAGGATGCCTGTTTTTTTTTTTTTTTTTTTTTAATGTGTGTTCTGAGGCTGGGCTCAGGTCCCTCTGCTTGCACTTTATCAACAGAGCACCTCTCCTGCATAGTCTATCTATTTCTACAGAAGTAAAACTTTGCCTGAGTCTCAGGCTGCTCTCTCAGCCCATACTCAAGCTCGGTTTTTATTCCTAATGCTTTTCTAGCCATTTCATGGGCTGTTGCAGTACAGGGTCCTGGTGTTTCTCTACTCCCTCCTCCTTGTTTGAAGCTCTCGCAGAACTTAGGTTCTGCTAACTCTTGTCTCTTCCTCGGCTTAATTGAATGCCTCAGTTGAAACCTCTCTCCACTTCTCACTCTGCAGCAGGGAAGGGTTAAAGGCAGGTGAGTGTGGCCCCCAAGCACTTTGCTGGTTTTCCTGAAATGGAAGACCCCACGTTTTTTTCATTTCTCCTGCCTGCTGATGCCCTGTGGCTCAGCGAGCCTCAGATCCTGAGCCTCCGTTTCTAATTCTCTTTGAGTTAGATCACAGAGTCCCTAGTGCTACCTGTGACTCCCCACATCTTGCTCTGACACTGTGGATAAATCATGTCACCTTGGGGACCTGAATCCCCTTGGCTGTGAAGTGGTGATGAACAGTCTTCCACTGATATAGGACAAAGCTCCAGAAGCTAGTGCACCGGGAGCACGAGGGAACGCTCACCCTGTGCCTTTGGATAGGATAAGTAAAGTTCTGAGTACAGCACCACGTGGCAGTGAGGGCGACTGCTGTATGGACATCGAGACCTCAGCCCCATGGGAAAACACCAGCGTTGTCCAGAGGAAACTGATGGGTAGGGACCTTTCCAGATCGTGCCCCTTGTGTGCTAAAGGAAAGATAAACCTTCCTCTCCGGTCCTGTTTATCCACGTCCTCGACCCACCTCTCCAGGCAGTAGAGGAAACAT